TTAAATGGAGTGACACTCAATTAGCTGAGAAACACCACTCAGGTTGCTAGTTGCAAATGTACTAAAAAACACTTAGCCAGCATAAAACGCCTGAAATAAACTGATAAATGCAAGGAGAGTGATAAATGGCCATTTTTTAAGTGCTGTGGCTACAACGATGTATTTCTTGGTACTGACTTGATGAGCAAGAAAAACCTACAAACACTGCAATAACAGTAGCGTGTTCAAGGAGCTAACATCCCTTCCTCCACCAAGGGAGCAGGATCATGCAATCCAACTCATTCCAGCGTCAGCTGTTGAATATCAGGCCTTACCTATATTTCCACTTCTAGAAGAATGAGATTGAGAACCAGGTGGCTCAAATGCTCAATAATTCAGTGATAAGACCCAATGGCAGCCCCTTCATCAGTCCTGTTAGTCAGAAAGAAGGATGGCAGCTGGAGATTCCATGTCGATTACAGGCAGCTAAATGCCAATCTCAATTAAAGATAAGTCTCCTACCCCTATAATTGATAATTTATTAGATAAACTAAATGAGGTTGCAGTGTTCTTTAAGGTTGATTTGCGGGCTCTTACTATCAAATCATGGCAAAGCTTGAGGATAAGGATGTGCAAAAGCAACTTTCCGCATACCATGGGCATTTTGAATTCCAGGTGATCCCCTTAAGTGTCACTACTGCACTAGTCATCTTTCAACTTTGAAGAATAGCATTTTCAAGCTCTTTATAACGATGTTTATGCTGATTTTCTTTGATGGTATACTCGCCTAGGTTTTGTCGGATACTACCAGAAGTTTGTCAAAAACTATCAAACTATCAGCAAGCCCTTGACAAACCTATTGGAAAAGAATGCATTCTCTTGGAACCTGAAGGCTGAAGCAGTATTCGAGGAGCTTTAAAAAACAAAGAGCAGAAAACTCGTGGTAGCCCTGCCAGATTTTTAATACCTAACAAAAACTAACACCTGCCATAAAAAGCATCAGGAATAGTGTTGGTACAACAATAGAGGACATTAGCCTATCTCACCAAAGCCTTGAAACAAAGAACCAGTTTTTGTTCATTTATTAGAAGGAGCTATTAGTCACTAGCAAGGTTGTTATCAAGTGGCGGCACTATTTGAGGGCTCTAAAGTCATCATTGGAAGCTTAAGATACCTATTAGAGCTAAAGGTCCATAGTTTTGTACAAAAGAAAGGCATACTTAGACTTTTGGGATTGAATTATCTTGTACATTACATAGGGGAAGTTACAAATGTATTGTCGGAAGAAAGCACCCTTCATTGATACGGGAAGTGTCCCAGCCTTACAAATGAGACAAGGGGGCCACAGAATTTATGTTATGTTATCCATAACCCGCCTGCCAAGCCCTCGGTACATGTGTTGATTAGAATATTATGTTAACCAATTAGTTAAGATATTTTTTCTTGTTTAATTTTTTTCATGATTAAACAATCAATTAAAATCTCTAGTATAATGTTAATTTCCTTATCTGTATGTAGAAATTCTGTATATATACCCCAGTTGTAACAACATAAATTATATCATAAATAAAGTAAATATTCATTCTCCAAAATTTTTCATGGTATCAAAGCCAAATAAAGTTATTCTAAAATTCTAATTTATTATTCTAAAATTCTAATTTCAAAATTTTTAAAACTCTAAATTAACAAAATAGGTTGAGTTGGTACTCAGTCTACTAAGATCTACTCTCATCACCCACCTAAGTGGAGTTGTAGCCTCATTGTCGGGCAGCCACTCTACACCAGCGACCTTTTTTCCGAGCGCGTGAGCCACACGCACCGCCAGACAGCACCTTCCTCGGGCGTGTGAGACAGACACGCTACCGATCAACCGTGCCGAAACTTCACCCGATGTGTTGTGCCTCCGCCAAACATCCAAGTCAAGTCTGTTTCAGCGTGTTGAACGTGTCTCCAGCTCAAATCGCGCATTTTTTGTCTGTCTTCAACTGGCCACCGATCACAAACCAAAGTCACTGCCGTGCAAGCCGCCCCAAGCCCTCGCGCCAGTCTATGGACTCCATCACACGCAAAACCCTCAAGCGGATCTCTCTCTTCTTCTTCAGAATCATTCAGCCGACCCTGGTCCAGCGGATCTGCCTTTGTCGACCGATTCCGCCATCGTTTTTCAATCTTCCGGACCTTTTTTGCCAGCTGACACCTCTGACCGCTCAGATCTGTCACAGCCACTTTTTTCCAGCCAAACCGGCCTCTTCTGGTTGCTGACAGTACAGGGACCGTTTCTGCCACCATTTTTTTCGGTCTAGTCCTACCTCCATTAGTGCTGATCAGAGGATCTTTTCTATCTCAATGAGATTAGCTGCTGGGATTGTTCTTTCCCTATCTCTAGTTATTTTAAATAATAACAAGAAAAAAAAAATTGATTGTTTCTAGTTTGAGTAACCCTTCATCAACTATTGGAGTTTTTTCAAACGAAGATATTCAAAACCTGAAGCATCTCATATCTCAATTTAACCATTTACTAGCTATTTGTACGTCAAAAATGGTAAACTCGAGTATTGTTTCTCTCCCTGCTATTTTCAATTCTAATACTTGGATCATAAATTGTGAAGCTAACAGACATATGATACACTCTTCTAAAAACTTCCTAACCTATTTTCTGTGAACTAAACGAGAAAATATCCATATCATAGATGAGTCATACAATCCAGTATATGAAATAGGTTTCATTAATTGTACTTCGACTATTACATTATTTTCAATACTTCATCTGTCTAGTTTTTTCTGATTATTTCTTATTCATTAGTGTCATTACTAGAGATTTTAACTGTAAAATTAAATTCTTTTCCTAATCATTGTGTCTTTCAAGATCTTCAATCAGGGAAGAAGATTAACACTGGTAGATTGCAGAATGGTTTATATACCTTGAATAGAAGTTAAAGCGTAATTGAGAATCAAGTAACCTTCGGAGATATGGATGCCAATAAAGAAATTGTAGAATCGCATCAACGCTTGGGATATCCTTCTTTCTTTACTCTAGAAAAATTATATCTCATGTTATTTAAAAGAACTTCTATGGATTTCTTATTTTGTGATGCATGTGAACTAACTAAACATAAAAAGAGTTCATATCATATGAGTAATCATAGAAGTCCTACTCCTTTTAAGACTATTCCCTCTAATGTTTGGGGATCTACTCAGAATACCTCCTTAACTGGCCATGAATAATTTGTTACTTCATTAATTGTTATACTAAATTAACATGAATTTATCTATTGAAAATCAAAACTGATGTGTTCCCATGCTATTTTATTTCATAAAATAATATGTACACAATTTAATACTAAAATTAAGATTTTAAGAACAGACAATGGTACAAAATATATGGATGCTGGATTATGTACTTACTTAAAGTCTAATGAAATAATCCATCAAACGAGTTGTATCTACACCAATGAACAAAATGGTCTTACTGAGAGAAAAAACATAAAAATATTAGATGTATCTCGATCTCTTATATTCACCATAAATCTACCCAAAAGTTACTAGAGAGATGCAGTTCTTGTAATTACTTATTTTATCAACAGAATACCTTTAAGAGCTCTCGATTTTAGAAGCATTTAGAAGTTTTGCAAGGAAAAAATTCTTATACTATTCCTCCAAAGGTGTTTGGATGTATTTATTTTGTCCATACTAAAAATGTAGGCAAGTTAGAATATATGACCCTTAAATATGCATTTGTTGAATGTTCCCCTACTCAAAAAGTTTACAAATGTTATCATTCTCCATCTACAAGATACTTTGTAATTATGGATGTTATTTTTAGAGAAATCCAAACTCAACATCTCTTCAGGGGGAGAGTGAGAAAGAAGAGGTAATGCCCGGTATGCACACTTTGTTAACTCTTGATAGTTACATTCAGGGGGAGGGTTCTAATTCGAAAGGTCTCATTCAAAGAAATAATGTGGGGCACTTAAATAAACAAGACTTGAAGAGATACTCAAGAAACAATAAGACAGAGAAATCCATCGTGCAGTCTAACCCAGGTCAAGATTCTTACTCAGTTCCTGAAAATATCGACGAGTTACCTCTATTTTGTGATTTATTCAATGTTGTGGATAAACTCATTGCTTTTAAAAAATTAATCAAATCTTGCACTAAATATCATATGTCTAATTTCGTTTCTTATGACTCTTTATTTCTCTCTTCTAGAACCTTTGTCTTTTTTGTTTCCTTTGTATCTATTCCACAAGATTTGAGAGAAGATATAGGAAATCCCAAATGGAAGGAATGTATGATTAAAGAAATGAAAGCATTGCCAAAAAATATAACACTAACCCTAATTTTGTTATAATGAAAAAACAATATTACCTGTAAACAAACTTTACTACTTTCACCCTTTATGTTATTTACCTATTCCCTAATTTACTCTTGGTTTCTTACAATGTGATGTCTGAAAACCTTAGATGTGATGTCTAAGTTTTTATCCCCAAGTAAATTAACCTTAACTTGTTCTACATCAGTATAAGATTTTTTTTTAACACTTTCCCTTTTTTAACACTTTCCCTTACATTAATAAAGATGTAGCCAATTGTCGTTAGGCAAATTGAAGCAACAGCACGCTAACAAATCAGACAGAAAATCTTTCTTTTCTAATTTCTATAATTTACTAACCAGAAAATTGGCAAAAGGCAAACTCTATGTAAATGAGACTTCAAATTAAATTGAAAACATGTATAATCTCGAAAGCATGTGCTAACAGCCATTTCAAACAATAATTGAAGTAACTGATTTTCATGGACAGAAAAGAAAATCTATTACGAGAAAAGGAAAATACAAAGGGAGAGAATAGTGTAACCTCTTACAAACTGGTACAAAATAAAATAAAGAAACAAAGGTCAAGTAGCTGATGTTAAATCAATTTTTTCTTTTTTGCCTGAAAATTGCAAGGAAAAAATGAAAAACATGGCTCATGTTAAGTCTATTAAAAGTTATTTCTTGCCTGAAAACTCAAACACAAGCAACTGGCCAAATTCAAGAGCAGAAAAACATGCAAAATATATACAAACTAATGAGATTAATATTCTAACTAAACCAATTAACCAAAATGTATGCTAGGGGAAGCAACTCATTCCATGCTCTTCGGTTTTTGATCTTTTAGCAGTGACATCTTAGTGATCCCGACATGAGAACTCAAACACATGGAGCACCACAAGCAAAGAACCGACAACAATTCTTGCTGATGCATCATAGTAAACACAATCACAGTGGTGAAATAGTAGTACTTGAAAGTTGAAAACACAAATTGATAATTGGTGCCAAGATTTGTTGAACATACCGCTTGTCTAAATGCAATGCAAACTTCTCTTGCCATCTGCTTTTCATTAGGTGTCAGTAACACAGGGTACCTAACCTGTTGGACAAGATAACAACACGTATTCTTGAATACTTATTCAATTAATATAAACATATCTTGTATTAGTCTATGTTATCTAACTCGATAATGGCAATATTTTGAACTAAAATCTAATTCTAAAATTGCAAATTGACCTTATTGTCCAAACTCCAAACAATTGCATCCCTTAATGATCTTCTTTTATGATAAAGCTTAGAAATGCTATAACATTCATGTCTTTACACAACACATGGGTTTCACTCCATATTTGTTCACATACCACCAGACATACATTTTCAACATGCAAAAAATAAAAAACAATGTATAACATTTACCTGACAATTAAGCATTGCCAAAATAGGAGAAAATATCAAGAAACCAGAGATTTAAAAAAGTTTAGACTTTATACAGGCTTATGCATGGTTTAGGCTGGAACAGTAGAGAGAAAGAACATGAAAGATCTTTTAAAACTAAATATATTTTAAGATTGCTATATACCTCCTTTCCATCAGGGTTTCTCATCACAACTCCATCGACAACAGGAGACTTCCTTGCCTCAGCATGTGCATATTCAGGGCCAACAGTATATACCTATGTTCATTGAATAGATGCCCCATCAACCTCTCGAGGTTCAAGGCAGAATTACCAATTAAGACATAAGATGTGAATTCTACATATAAAAAGGAATGCAAATAAAACAAGAAAAGAATCTTGTTGAGCCACAAAAGAGAGCAAAAGAAGTGTTTCAACAGATTAAATGTTTTGAAATCAAATGATAATTACCATGAGCAGAAGCAAAAGTAAAATCAGAATATTTATTAAAATGATTACTGACCAGGACTAGCAACAACAAAATGAACCATAAAGATTTCAGGCACCATGTAGATGCGAAGAACCACCTATGTGATACACACATGAACACAAGAAAAAGAAGCAAATAAAGAAAAAGGAGCAAAAACTTGAGATCTCCAACCTTTTTTTTTTTTTTGAAATAAAAAAGTAAGGTATATATATATATATAAACAAGGTACAAAGAGAATTTACAATCATGTTAATATATCAATGATATTCCCAAAATTCACGTCACTAATAATATTATGAGCTAACAATATTAACTCAAAATAATATAACTACCTATCTTTTAGTCTGTTAATACTACTTTCAGTATTGTCAAAAACTTTACCATTCTTCTCCTTCCATGTGACCCAAAAAACTGTCAATGGAATCAAGTTTGCAGTTTTATTTTTTACAGATAGTCCATCCCAAACCAAAATTTCCTCTCTAACAGATCCAGCAATTGCTCACTCAATCCCCAACAGTCCATAAATCATACACCACAAACTGTGCATAGTCGGACACCACAAAAGTAGATGATTGCAAGTTTTCTCAGCTTGAAGACAACAAATGCAGCCATTAACCAGGATCCTTCCTCTAATTTTCAGTTTATCAATTGTCAAAATTTGTTCCCAACAAGCTTCCCAAGCAAAGAAAACAATATGGGGGGGGCAGCTTTTGTTTTCCAGATTTGTTTTACCCAGAAAATAACCCTACCCTCACCATTCTTTCTACATAGGAATTTGTAATATGATTGCACAGAGAAAATCCATTATTCCCAAGTTTCCACCAGATTTGGTCCTCACACATAGGTACCTTCTGATTTTCAAGAATCTGCATTAATTCTTCAAACTCACTCACCTCCCAATCATTCAAATTCCGGGAAATTTCGATATCCCACACAGCTCTTTCATTCACAAACTGGACAGCATTCTCCACACGCAAATTCTTGGATTAAGCAATGCTGAAAATATTGGGAAATACACTTCTGAGACAACCCACCCCACACCAATCATCATCCCAAAAGTAAATCTTGTTGCCTCCGCCCAGTTTCCATGAAAAACATTACTGAAAGTTAGTCCATTGCATCAAAATTTTCCTCCACAGGCCTCTCCCATGAGGGATAGTAATTCTACAGCCAGCCCTGCTCATCATGAAAATACCCCATCTCGAATGTACAATTCTCCTCCACAAACCGTTTTCTTCTTTCAAGTATCTCCACAAACACTTACCATGTAAACCATTATTCATATCATCCAAGGATCGAATTCCCAACACCCCCATTTTGGGAGGCTCTTTGACAATATCTCATTTTACAAGATGGTATTTCCGATCATCATCACCATCACCCTAAAGGAATCTACATTGTATTGCTTCCAATCTTTTCGCCACCTTGGAAGGGATAGTAATTGTTGATAGATACTATATTGGGAGATTAGATAAAGTGCTCTTGATTAATGTACATCTCCCGCCTTTAGAGAGGAAGTTTCTCTTCAACCCTGAAAGTTTTCTTTCAAACAATTCATAGATCTCCAACCTATCAGAGAACCTGAGATTTTACTTTCTTTTTTTTTTTTTTGTTGATAAAAAAATGTACTATTGAGAAAGAGAAATGAACATCACAAAAAAAGATACAACAATTAAGATATTCAGTTAAACAAAAAATAGGACAGAGAATAAAGTATAAAAGAAAAAAGCATAAGCAAATAAAAAAAATGACAATTGATCACGTGACTATTGCATCCCAAATTCTATGGAGTATATTTAGAGAGATGTTAGAGTATTTCTCATGAGCCTTGGCCCTAGGGAAGCCAAAAATGCCATCTTCTCCCTCAGAATCGTCCAAAAAAGCATGAAACTCAAATATTCAATGATTTCTTTGCAACCAAATTATCCATAGAACTGAAACAACACCTTTTGCCATCACAGTCTTGCTTCCTTCCTTACCCCTATACCGCCAATATTGGAATCGATGAAACATTCCAATGAAGGAGGTGTTATCTATGCTAAATTATATGTGTCAAACAACTTTATCCATAACTTCCATGCCACCTCATATTGGAGGAAAAGATGATTGTGTTTCCCTTCCTCTACAATAAATCACACAAATGTTAAGAGACAAAGCTCTGTTAAGCCTACAAGTCACAACAGCTCGTTTGGTATTTAACCGATTCAAAATTGTGGTCCACGCAAACACCTTCACCTTCAAACGAACCTTGACTTGCCAGAATGTTTAAAAGGGGTATCTTAACATTCAGATCTTTTTGGTTATATGATCGGAAAAGGATTTACAGCCGAAGATTCTATACTCTATGCCCTGCAATCTGGCTGTAGAGAAGGTGAAAAGATTGTAATAGGCTCAACATGGTAAGGAGTTCTTCAATTTTTCTATCATTCAAACCGCAAAAAAAAGAAATGAAAATTCCAATTTGGAGTACTGTTGGTAAGGCAGAAAAACTGGTCAAATTGGGGCTTTGTGACATGAGCAGATGCCAAATAAGTGCAGAAATTGAGTATCTAAAGGGCAAACACCCCTCCAATAATCTTCCTAGAGAAGGACATTGGATCCATTTCCCACATTATATCTGGTAAGAGGGGTATAGAGATTTAGCAACTACAAATGGCCTTTTGTGGACTTTGGTGTTAGGTGGATCTTGTGACCACTGCATGCCAACTTTTTCACTAACTCCCAAGAACACTTTTGATTACTTTATATCACAAGAAGTTTTGATCCTATGAGAATCTTCATAGCCATTTAACCAATAATAACAAATTTCTCGATTTTAGATTCCTGATACCCAACCCTTCAAATGTTCTAGACCTACAATACATATCTCGTTCACTAAATGATCTCTCCTTCCCTCTCCATTCCTTGCCCATAAAAAGTTTCTCATCTCTCTCTCTAAATACTCGATCACTCATGCTAGAACCTTAAACAAAGACATTTAGTGCATTGAGACACTAGACAAGCACACCTGAACTAGTCTAATTCCTACCCCCATCAAAAAAAGATCCCTTTTCTAGCTCTCTAACTGCACACACACTTTACTAACCACTCCTTCCTAAAATGGCTCACACTTAGGATCGCCACCCAATGAAATGCTTAAATATGTAATGGGCCTTTTTTTTTAAATAAAATATGTAATGGGCAAGGTCATGTATCTTATTACATCAACTAGGTTGCTCACTTTATTATCTGCCACATTTTCTCCCACCAAAATACATGGCAATGTTAATGTGAAACCCTGACATAGCTCAAACCCTCTCACTGAGATTACTACAATAGCAATCAACCAATTATCATGTGACAAGAATGAAATCATGTCATCCACAAAAAGTGGAGGTGAGACCTCAAACTTATCCTTTCCAACCACAAAGCCTTCAACTGCCCCTTTTTCCGATCCCTATTCAACATTCTACTCAAACCATCCACCACCAAGGTAAAAATAAATTTAGATAAAGAATCTCCTATTCTTATACCCAAAGGACACCGAAAGGACTCGTGTATTGCCATTCCCTTCCGATCCATCATTAAGTCTAGAAAACTCTAATTTATCGTATTTTATGACGAGCCCTTCCTTTTTTGTCTTCGCATATATTTTACTGATTCATTTCTCATAAGGAACATTTCCACGACTTGTTTTCCTCCCACAAAGGCACTTTGATTTAGTGATATAGTGTCATCCAATATCTCATTAAAGGTAGTGACAACACCTTAGTTATTGTTTTGTAGACACCAGTCACCAAATTGATAGGGTGATAGTCTGATACCCTTTTTGATTTGTCTTTCTCAGGTATAAGGGTAATGAAAGATGATAGAAATTTCTATATTCTTTGCTGCCACTGACATTCGGCAGCTAAATGGGTTCAAGCAACCAATTACAGAAAAATATAGTACGTCAACTCTATATGAGAACATGCTGCGTTTAGCTTCATTTTTCTGATAGAGGCAAAGGGAATGCAAAACAAATTCATAATACTGATAATGTTGAGCTCCTTTTATGTTTTCCAAAAAAGAATAACAAAAAGTCCAGAGAAGATAATGAACCAAACCGTTAATAAGTAGTATTGTCCAAAAAAACCAGTATCCTCCTGACATCCAATAGTTAAAATTAATAAAATTGCAGAGGTTTTTTGGAACACACAAGATTGCCATAGCTACTTACAACATCAATTAGAACATATTCATTGATAACCAATAAGAATGTTAAACAAAACAACCTTGACATCTGTTCCACCAGTTGGCATAAATTCCTCATATATATAAGAGCCTTCACGTCTCACTCTTCTAACCTCAGGGTGGAATTCACTTGACCGGTTCCCTACCTAAAATCAAAATATTATTACATACAACCATAGATTACAGAACAACAAATAAATCAAAACTTTGAGATAAATGGAAATGGAAACCGTAGACGCCTTATAGGAATCTATAATTTGAATATTAAGTTCAATTGTTGCAGCTTTGACAGCAAGAACTACCAATTACAACCCACCTATGCAACCCATACGCAGAATAGCCAATTTGAAAGAATGATCTATATGGTTAGGCCTTTTTTTCTTTTTGAAAGAAGAATGATCCATAAAAATCGGATAAATTCTTCACTAGAAAAAGTGAAAACAAAAAGCTGTAGATGGATGTACTACCTTCCTAAACAATTCCTTCATGCCTCCACCTGCTGAGCTCGGGTAGTATATCATTATGCTATGATCATCCCCTTGACAAACACAAACAAGTTATTTACTATTTATGCACACTAGAAAAGTAAAAGCACGAGGTTGATATTTTTTTGTGACCTCAGGCACACAAGTGTTTTTGAGGGACCTCGTTGCCCGCCTTACAAAAAACACTGGGCTGTATACTGATAATCATTTTACTAACTTTCCCTTCAGTTGTCTTTTCAGGTTGTTCCCTTTGTATTTGCTTGAAATACCTTATCCCCCCTCCTCCTACATCTCTCTATCTAATATAATTTATAATTTTTATCCAAAAAAAACAGCAGGCTGATATCTTTTCTTTTTCCCCAAAAGGAATGAGAAAGAAAAATTTTATATCTAAGGGGGGGGAAAAACTGCATGCATGCAATGAGTACAAATGCAATAAATTAGTATGTATTATTAATAGTAAAATAAGCAACATACAAAATGTTTTAGAAACAAGGATCATAATGTTATGCAAGAACTTGCATGTGGTAGCCTTTATCATGCTCAAAGCTTCTAAAAAAAGGAAGTTAATTTCATGGATAAATAGAAGATATGCAAGAACTCAGAGCTAAAAACAAGAAACTTATACTCTTGCGCTGTACCCTTACACATAGAAGCTATAATACACAGCTTCTTTTTCCTGCACCTTTATGATGGTTCATGTCTCGAAGATCCCCCAAAAGGGCAAGGAGAAACTTAGATTTAATTCTAGCCCTGTAGATACACCCTAAAAAGCAAATATATATGTGTATATATATATTGAAGTATCATTACTTTAAGAATTAGAAAAAATAAAGCAGAAACAAGTTTATCATCATTAAAGATCTCTAGATCTCTCAATATATGATATACAAGCCACATTTTCAATAATATATAATTTGAGTCCAAAAAAGGAGAAAATGCAGAAGAATACAAATTTTCTGATGAATATCTAAAATTAAAAAATAATAATACTAACAAAAATTGAAAGACATTCAAAATCGTAAACTTGTGGGTTTGTTATACTTTGTGATGTGTGATCATTGCCCACCTGTTATTGAGACACTCTAATATCAATAAAATGCTGTGTCTGACTAACAGACGAACAATCCTCTTCTTCGGTAAGACTGTCTCCATCAATCAAAAGAAAAAGAGTCCAAGGCCAAACTTCTTGGACCCTTTAGAAGGGTGATTTAACACTCTTATATACTTCTCCCTTATATAAAGAAAGTAGCTTTCATATTCTATTCAATTGTACTATTTTGTTTTTCAGAATGTTTACTTATTAGCAAACCAGAAACTGGCTTCAACGAATGCAGCCAATAAATTAGCCTTTCATTCAGGTTTGAGAAAGATTAAGCTTACCATCAACGGGCTTTTCAACGAATGGCTTCCAAAAACGTTCTCCATGGACCTCAACAAAATCTTCTTCCTCAATAAAATAATGCAGGTCTTGATACGGCACTTCTCTATTTACAAGGGCATATCTAGGAACAGGGATTCCATACATCTCAAGACGCTTTAAATCCCCAAAAATAAACGTATTAACTTTTGTCTTTGAATAGTGATAACCATAATAAAATTTGAAACAAATATACTAACTGATATAGTATAATTTGGCCACAATCAAATCAGGAAAGAATTATTGAAACTTGAAACCTCAAAAGAAGTGTAAAATCAGGTTGTTGCTTCTCAGAAGAACAAAAAGGTGCTTTAAAGAATTAGGGTCAAGCAATTTCCAGTTTTGAAATTCAATTCATACCAAAAACTCACAGTTCCACATTCCCACACATGAGAGAGAGAGAGAGAGAGATGAGGGTGGAGGAATTTTTTTGAGAAATTCCAGATCATGCAGAAGGAAGAGAATATGTGCAACCAGTAATATATTGTACCATCAATTCCGAATAGCCCCAGTATAGTAAAAAGTGAAAAAGGTCAAAAAGTGAAAGAAGGTATCGTGAAAGTTTAGACAATATACCTCATATACCTTCCTTCGGTCATGGAGAAGGTGTTGTGGCTCCAGTTCATTGACTAAAAATGGCCTGAATCAAAGAACATTTATGGTTTGAGAATAAACTCTCGTAAATGCAAATTGATGCACTCATGACTCATCTGAAAATTTCATTTAACATAGATAGTCAAGTTTATTTTTTGAAATAGTAGATAGTCAAGTTTATTGCTGCAAACTAGAAGAAATGTCCAAGTAATTAAGGAAACTAGAGATATGTCACCAAGACACACAAACTCCTCTGTATAACTAGATATGAGCCTGTATGAAAAAACAAAAAAAACAAAAAAAGTAAGGATGACGATTGACTAAAATAGCACTAACTGGAAGAGTCTACTCTGGAGAATTAGAAAAAATACTTAAATAATATCCCACAAGAAAATGTGCAATACTAGTCATTATATCATGTGGTATTGCTGCCTCAACTGTGCTCCAGGTTCAGTCCCAAGTCATCAAACGGCCATAGTAAACCTATTCAACATATGTTAACACTGTTCACTAGTCACCACTCGCCTAAAGCATGCAATAAAAAGCAAACCCCATATATTCAATGCACATTATCCATTTGATCCCCTTAACACTTCCCAATATCCTCAAGAAATTGATGTTTCCATTGAAGTACTATGAAAAAACTGTTATGGGCTTCATTCAGGAAAGTGAGAATCGGGAAACATCTTTGATATACTATTTAGGTGTCTCAGAATCATGATTAAAAAGAGCAGATTATCTAGTAATGGAAAATGTCTATTTGATATAGAAATGAGAAGTGGAACTTACTTTCTTAATGCAGCATATTCCTCAGCTTTTTCAAGAGGATATCCAGAGGAATAGAATGCAATCAAGCAATCACAGATTGGCCAGCTGAAACAAATAAATATCGTAATTAAGTTGTGATATCTGGAGACTATATCTGTAATTCTTAAGACACTGACAACAAAAACATATAGCAGAGACAAACAAAAAAATATATCAGTGCCCAGTTGGAGACCAGCAAAATTATGAGCCAGTTGTCTCCCACATTACCATACACTCCCAGATCTTTTTATGCATGTACACATCTTAGACCTTAGCTTCCAATTAACCCCATCAAATACTCTGAATCATTTGAATGACAAATTTTTATTTTTTGTTCACTAGTTCTGGATCCAGAAAATGCATTTGGATACATTTTTTTCCTCCTTATTTTAGAATTTTTCGTTAATGGTTCACCACATTGGAACTGTATGTTTAAAATAAAAATAACATTGAATTCTAGACAATTCAATGTGTAGCTTAAGAAGCAAAATTATTAATTCTAAATTTATTGGAAAATGATGTATACACAATTTCTAGCACAGACTGCCTCTTTGACAAATTTTGGCAGCTAGCATATAATAATTTGAATCATGTTCCTACCTAGTAAAGCTCCAGAAAAGGAAGGAGGTACCCCACGTAACAGTAAAATAAAGAAGAAAACAAGGGAAAGAAAAAGGAGAACATATATAGTAATAACTGTACATCATGAGAACGGTTCATTGAAGATGCCATGTTTCAGCTAATTATCTGGAAATTACCTTTCTATTGGTTCTTCAAGAATAATCTTATCCCCAAAATGGATGACCTACGAAGACACAGTCGACAAGAAATCAATATGAAAAACATAGGAAATAACAGAACAGCAGTTTATACTTTTATTTCAAAAAAAAAAAAACAGAACAGCAGCAGTTACAGAGCGTACGACAAACATAGCAAATATCAAACACACAACACAAAGTAACTATCACATATAAAGCTTTTAAACCAATTTCGTTCAGAAAAATAAAAAGTGTATCAAATTCAACTGTCAGAAGAATAATAGGTAGTTCGAATTCAATAAATCGCAGTTCATCTACCTCGAATTCACCAAAAGCATGTAGTCTCTCCAGTATTTCTCCCATTGGAGCCGAAAAGACCTATAGATTAATATACAGAAACTCATGAGTACAAGCTCTACACTGTAGCAATATCACTGTTATTCTACATTATTAAAATTTAATTATCCCTCTGTTTCTTCCATCATTGTTATAATGCGAATTGAGCACAAAGGAAATAGAACCTCGGGGCCGCATTTCACCTTCTTTTCCATGACGCAAACTCCGATCGTAATCTTCCTACCAACATCTCCTTCTTCCACCTCCATCTCTTTCTCTTTCTCTTTCTCTTTCTCTTTCTCTTTCTATATATGTATATCTACCTGTTTCTCTCTCTCTATCTATATATGTAGATATATCTGTTTTTCTTTCTCTAAAAAGATAGATTCAAAGTCCAAATCTACACACCTCCACTGGTAAAATCCAACTCAAAGTACGAAAAGAAAACAGCAAAAGTTATCAGTTAACCAATCGCGGCCGTGCCCGCCGACCTACAACGGATATACACACACCTGTGAAAACACACGCACACGTACAGAACCAGAATGAGGGAAAAACAAACAAACAAACAAACAAACAAAGAGATACTAGAAGCAGAAACAAGCAAAATGACGAGGGTAAAGCGAGAGCAGGAGGAGAGCAAACTTTATCGAAACGGTGCGACGACGGAAGACTCAGAGAAAAAAATAAAATAAAATGCGTATCAGCCAACGAAAATTGAAAGTAAAAAAAGAAAGGGCAAACGGTGCATGTTACGTACATATATATATATATATGTATGTATAGAGAGAGAAAGAGAGGGTTTTTTGGGGATAAGAATTAGGATTCCAGAATATGCATTTTTGAAAAAGAGGTGTTTTTGCTTCACTTTCCATATATTTTCTTGTGGACGAGGACGTGTAAAAACTAATGGGGGGGTTTTGGATTTTATTATAAAAAAGTATGGACAATATTGGTTGCGGTCTTGTCACTCTCTTAAACTTAGTATTAAATAAAAATTGGTCATGTGTCACTAATTTCAATCTTTATTAAAAGATATATCAACGAAAATTATTTTAACCAATTATTTTTTAAATATAATTTAATCATTTTAATTTTTTTTAGAAAACAAAAATAAATTAAATATTTAAAATAAATAAATAAATATTATAAAATAAAGTATAGAAAATGTTAAGTATTAAATTAGAATTAAGTGTTAGACATTAAAAATTAATTTATTAATTTAAAAGAAAAAAAATTGTGTCCACTGACCAACTACCCAAAAAAAGCAAAATGAAAAAGTAGGTCATGTGATGTTTGTTTGTATTAGTTTATCAGTTGTATATGTCCATTCTTCGTATCGTCTAATCAAATCCCAGTTACCGGTAAAGAATAGATGTAATTTTTTTATTCTAAATTCGAGTATTAAATTAATCTGTTGCAACTACCAGTTAATTTAATGAAAAATATTTAGGTAAAAAGAGATGTTGATTTCACTTTTTTTTTTTTTTAAATTTAAGTGTATATATATATATGTGTGTGTGTGTTAATTGGTACCCACAACACAACCAAAATAAATAATTAAATCAATCAAGACTATTAGTCTTGGAACAAAGACTTTCTATAACACATCGCTTCAATACTAGGACCGTATCTAACACATTTTTATTTTTTATTTTTTTGGTTGGTTCCCTAGGATTTGTAATGAAAATTTAACTCTTAATTTTTGTCTTATAAAAAACGTAATGTTACTACAAATGTCTATATTATTTAATTTTATGAATAAATTATTATACACTGAGTTATCATAGAAAGAGAATACTTCTCAAACAATACTTCATAAAGAATTTATTTCAAATGATAACTATATTTTAAATTGAGTACACAACCATTAAATATAAATTCATAAAAATATATTTTAAAAAATAAATTATGTTTATTATATACTCTCATTAAAGTACTCCTTCTGACGGAACAAAAAGTGAAAGAAATAGACTTTGGTCAAGTCATTATTTGTAATATTTTTAACATATCATTTCTCTTTTAATTCACACAAATAAAATGTTGTATTGCCCTAATTTCTAATGAAATCAAAAAATATCTAGAAAGTGCTGATTAGAATTTTCTTTTTCAATTATTCCTTTCGAGTGCGAATTAGGGTTTTCTTTTCTTGTGTTTGAAAGAGCATGAAAAGGACAGCAGAGAGAGGGTCTAATGATAAGATTGAAAGGGTGGTCAAAGTCGAAGACAATAATTAAAGGGCCAAGTAATTAAGGGGTTTGAAAAATCTGACAAACAAATAAAAGCAAGATTAGGATTGGAGGCTGCTTAAACAGCAGCAACCTAACCCGACTTCAATTTCCTATTTTTTTAAAAAAAAAATTCTTCATTTGGACTCTTAGAGAATTGTTATCTACGTTTGTAACTAATTATTATTTTGCTTGCCTCATCTAAAATTATTTAAAAAATTATATTTGTATCATGTTGCAAAAGGAATTTCACTTTATTTTCCAAAAGGGCAAAAATAAATAAATTTAAAAAAAAAAAAAGATATTGTTAGTTGATACTTTATTTTTTGATATATTAAAAATAACATCACAAGTGATTATTGTAGCCGAAAAAAAGGAAAAAGGAGCTACGAGTCATAGTTGCATCAGCTTCTCCCTTCAGCCGTTATAGGCTATGAACTCTTCCTCGGACAACATTGAGATAGTCCCATCTTCTTCTTCTCCTCAAAGATAATGATTCAATACCACTTTAACCTAGCTATTATGATTCACTGCAATCTGGTGCGTGCAAAATTGCATTGTTAAGCAATGAATTACACCTGAACATACTCAAACAAAAGAGAGAGAGCAAGGAATAACATGTGCTCCCAGTTTATCCCTGCGAACAATGCAAATGATACTCTTGTTCTGAACTTTTCCAAACCATCAAACCACTTGACAAAACTTCAACAGACATATCAAAGCACTTCAATTTTTTTTCTTTGGTACAATTCATTTGCTTGAAAAATTTTCTGCTGGATCTTGACATTTAAACTCAAACAACTTCCTTTAACGTGGCACCCCTTGCTAGTTTACCAATGCTCGTTCCAGCAATATATCCACCAGACCATGCATTCTGAGGATAATAAAATCAAAATAACTAATGAAGGTTGTTATGTGGAAGCTAAACCTAAAATAACCCCTCAGCAGAATGATTTTTGCCAGCTACCATGAGCTTCTTGTCATCAATATTATCAGTAATTACACAAGAAGGATGCATTATATCTCACATGTCATGACATGATTTACTAACCTGGAAATTGAAACCACCAGTCACCCCATCGATATTTAGTACCTGTAGATTATTTCAACATTTGACCAGAGTTAGTGGACCACAGGTTCACAGTCAAGTGGCAAGACATATATTGTTAAACATGCAGGGAATGGTCCTCATTTAAGTCTTATGATATAACGAGAATGGTGTCCTAGCCAACTAATGAAATCATGAAATGATAGTGCAAACCTGAAAAAATTAAGTGGGAAAACTACCTCTCCTGCAAAGAACAGATGAGGACATAACTTGCTTTCCATGGTCTTCAAAGAGATCTTCATAAAGCAAAAGGAAGTATCGGTTTACATGCCATTATCGTATGTGTTTGTGCATGCGTACATATATATAAATATATATATAGAGAGAGAGAGAGAACCTCAGACAATGGAACACCTCCAGCTGTGACAAATTCATCCTTGAATTGGCCCTTCATGAAAAGCTAATTCACATCAGCGTCTCAAGAAAGCATGAGAAATTTTAACAAAGGAATCAAAGAGATTTGACATGCCAGATTCCACCTTTCCTATTACTCCAAATTTACACTGCTTTAAAAGTTGAGCAATAGAACTTAAAGCATTATTTGAAACAGAAGCCCACAGGATATCTCCAAAAGAATTCTGCATTTAAGTAACAACAGAATATCCATAAAATATGCTACAGATAAGAATGAAAGTATATCTCTTTCAGCTTGAAAGACCATCTAAACCTCGCGATCCAGTATATATTTCCAAAACCTCTTCGTGATTCCAAATGCTGAAGGACATGAAGTGATGACCCTTTGCTTCTGGAAAACAAACATAAACAAAAAGGAGAAAAAGCATTCAATAGCATGAAAGATTAAATGATATACTGCAAACTAAAAACCTGCTAAATTAGAGAAAACAAGGTTGTTATGTTACAGCTCTAAAGAGGAAACAGAAAAAAGAAAAGAAAATCTGAAAGAGTGAGAAATCATATATGACCAGCTCATCCACCCCCACATTAAGGATCTATTTGGAAGAGGAGGAAAAGGAGTAATTTGGTCCTCACAGTAGATTATTAGTTTCTCTGATTAACCCAATTCAATTCAGTACATCTTATCCCATCAATGTTTTGTTGTGAGAACCAATTAACTCTGTTGTTTATCTCCCCTCTCATTCTCTTTGTTTTCTCCCTCCTAAATGAACGCTGAATATAAATTCATAATCACTATAAATAAGAATGGATTAGCCAATGGAATATGGGATTTGCATATTACTAAACTAAGTGGTATACTGATGCA